CGGCGCTTGAGAGATCCCCGCAGGGGCGCCGGAGAGGCTGCCTGCGGACCGCAAGGTTCTTGCCGCTTCGTTGCGCTCCCACTGGCCCTTCCCCTCGCCAGTGCTTTTGACTTCTGGGTTGTTGCTGTAAATGAAGTCACTGGGCCGTCTCTGCGCGTCCTGTCACGGAGTACATGGGTCACTCGAGCGTTGTCGTGGTCGCCTCTCTGTCCGGGGGGGAACAAAAGGAAACGATGCCACGAAGCACTCCGATCACGATGCGCACACGTTTTGATTTCAAGGACCCTGGACGCCGCCGCCGAGCTTGCCCCGCAGGCTTTCGGGCCCATGTGCGCTAGCAGTAAGTCGGGCCTGTCCCTCTACAGGAGGAAAATTCAAAAATAGTCGAAAACTCGTATGAGGACCATTCGTCGAATATTTTTGACTATTTTGGATTTTTTTTGACTATTTTGAGTTTTCGCTCAAAATCCGCCTGTAGGGGGACATGCCCGACCCAATTCTAGCATCACGGATCCCACCGCCAGTGCTGTCGCGAAGGAGGTTGCAGCCCTGAAGGGCGGCATTGCCGAGCTGGCAGTATCTTCTGGGCACGCCGCGCAGTTGCTTGCCTTCAGCATCCTCTTACAGGCGGGGGACCACTTCGTCACCACTGAAAGGGTCCACAGAGGCTCCGTGACGCAGTCTTGGGCGCCAGTGTAAGCAGTTCGGCTGGGGGGTCAGATTCTGCCCCCACGACATCCTCGATGCCATCGAGAAGACTTCCACCGAGAAGACGACGGCTCTCTATTGCGAGTCGATTGTCCGTCCTGGGGGCTCGTGGTGAACATGCAGAAGTCGTAGACGGGCTAAAGGCGACGTAGGTAACGGCGATGTAGGTTTCGGCAGTCTGGGAACGCGTGGCTCGCGCTTTCCATTCGCAGATAGGAAATGTAGGAATGTGTGTTTCGTGCTTTCCAACAGCTTGGTTCCCAGCATCAGTTAAGCAACGTTGTCGTGGCCCCGCCGTGGAGAAGCTGGCAGGTATTGCGCACAAGAAGTGATTCCCTCTGATCGTGGTCGGCAGAATTGCCGCATCCTTCCTGGTTCGCCCATGTGTGCACGGCGCTTGCGCAACCGTGCACCGCGACACCAACGGTCTGTGTGGCCTTGGCAACACCATCGGCGGTTTCATCGTACAGAAGTTCGACCTCGACTGGGGCTCTGGCAAGTTCCCGATTCTGCCAGACCCGTGCGATTCCTATGACGGCATGAACGTGTGTGAGACTTTCGGCAAAGATGGTCCTGTGGCTGGCATATTCGGGACTCTACGAAAGACCGTTCTCGCCTTCATCATTGCGGCGTGCACTTTCTGCCTACGCCATATAGCGATGTGCATCAGCCCTTTCAACACGTTTTGATCTCAATGGGAATGGATACGCGGGTTTGGCCAATGCGGAAGCACACGGAGAACGTCTTGGCACTGGCTCATGCTCACTTCTTGCAGAAGCACGGGAAGACCCATTGGGTCCGCAACGGCGGCCTGCAGGATGACAGAAGTCCCGTGGCCTGCACCAGAAGTGCTGCCCGGAAGGCGCCGCCGCCCTCCTCACCTTCGGGCTCAAGGGAGGGTACGGCTCCGGGGAGGAGCTCCTGGACTCGGACACGATGATCTCCCTCGTGGCGGACCTTGGCGACAGCCGCACGCTCATCGCACACTCGTCTTCGATGATGCGCTCGCAACGGATGGATGAGCCGAGGAATACCGCGGTCGCGGAGAGCGAGACGCTCCGCATTTCGACTGGGGTCGAGGACGTCGAGGGCACCATTCCCGATCTGTCAGGGGCCCCGAAGGGATGTTAGCAGAACGACGCTGAATTCCCCAATCAAGCTCCCGACGCAATGATTCATCAACGTCGAATGGTGATTTGTAAATCCATTATCGTAATGGCCTCCAGCCAATGCCGCCGATCCAGGGGGGCTGGATGTTTGTGCGACCAAGAAATGTGCAGGCGGAGAGTTGAGCCGGGGCTCAAAGGGCATCATCTAATGGCCTTCTGCCCATTGCGCCACCGTGCCTGGGTAGTGGGTGGTAGTGAAGTCTCTGAGATGTTCGTGGGGATGTCATGGGAGGGATCTCGGGGGCTTTTTGGAGGCAGTTCTGAAGCCTAATGGGCGCCGTTTTGGGGCCTCTTGGGGCGTCTTGGCCGTCCTCATGGGGGTCCCTTGGGGGTTCTGCGTGGCCTCTTGGGACCTCGAGGGGGTATCTTGGAGCGGAAGGCAGGAAGCATCGGTTCGGGCTTCCCCTCTGGGGCCTCTCTTTGCCCTGTCTTGGGGCTTTCTTGGGCTGTCTTGGGCGCCTGCTGGGCGGCTTCGGGAATCTCTTTGGGCGCCTGGGGGCGGTGTTCTGGGGTCTCTGGGACCGTCTTGGAAACTTGTTGCAGCGTCTTGGACGTCGTGAAGGCTTAGAAGTTGGACATTCTAGAAACGTATGTTCGCCCACAAATATTGCATGGTTTTTGCCTCTTGGCGCCCTCTTGGGGGTGCCCTTGAAGGCTACTTGGGACGTCTTGGGCGCTTGCGCGGCCGACAGGAGGTTATCTTGGACGTTTGGGCCCGATCGTTCAACGATTGTGTAGGGCTTACGAGGTCCTGAGTTGTATATTTTGACGTGTCCGAGGTCCCCCAAGAAAGTGGAGCAAACGCACAGGCGCACCAGGGGGACCCCCCCCTTCCTCGGCAGAGCCAACCCGGCAACCCCCCTCCAGCAGAGCTGAATTTCAGACTCTAGGCTGTACCTTAGGCTTTTTGAACCTCGCACGCCGGATCGGTGGATTTCTTCGAAGTCTCTTGCAGCCCGGCAGCCTGTGACTGCCCAGAAACTGTCGGGCCAAGGACGACTCCGAGCAAGCCAGGATAGATGCGTGAGCGAGGGAGAGGAGGGGGAAATCGAGTTGCGTTGCTGCGAAGATCCACCCGCGCACTCTGCGTGGGTGGGGGGGCTGGGGCTGGGGGCGGGAGGCACGATCTCCGCTACCCGGAAACTTGCTTCGGTTTCTGATTTTGTTTTCGGAGATTTTTGAGAGGAGGGGGCGCCAGAAAATCCAAGGGAGGAGGTTGGAGGATGAGGAGAAGGGGGACAACGGCCGTCGCAGGAGTAACTTATGTGAGGGGCGGGAGGCTACGAACCCCGAGTGGCCGCCAAGATTGCTATTAAATCTTGGTACTGGCAACGGCGGGAGGCAGCAGTTAGTGAGGCCACACGGCGGGAGTTACGGCGGGCCCCCCAGGGGGTAACCAGCACGCGAATCTTCCGATCATTGAATGTGGAAGGTATGGCGTGAGCGCGTGTGCGACCGAACACAAGGGGTCTGTCTCGTGGCCCTCGTGGAGCCACACGCGCTCTTTTTTTGGGGCCCTCTGGGGCTCTCTTGGGGTTCCCTGGGGCCCTCTTCGGGCCATCTTGGTGCTCCTTTTGGGGTCTTGGGGTCGGTTTGCAGGGTCTTGGGGGGCAGCGTGGCGGAGTCTTGGGGCCGTCCTGGGGTGCCCCGGGCCCTCTGGGAGCTTTAGGAAATCCACAGGATTCCTTCAGACATCCATCGGATTCCTTCGGAAATCCATCGGATTCTTTACGAAATCCATAGGATGCCCTATGGAATCTGTAGGATACCCGAGGAAATTCATAAGAATCCCAGCTTGGAGCCTTTGTAGCCTTCTCGGGGAATGCTTGGGACGTCCTGGGCTGTCAGGGGCCTATCTGGATGCCTCTCGGCCTTCCTCGAAGGCGCCTGGAAGCGACAGGGCAAAAACAACAGGGAAGCACCTGAAGATATCTGGTCATGCCTCTCGAGTTCTTCACTCCCCCTGGCCGTGTCGGAGCCCCTCTGGAGTCGTCCTGGACGGCATCCGAGGTGCCCGAGGGTGGATCTTGGAGGCTGCGAGGGCCCATAGGTGAGTGACGAGCCCGTCGCCTCCCCCCTGGCCCCGCTTAGCAGCACTCTGAGCCCCTGGGGAGGGGGACGGGGAGGGGGAACCACGAAGATCGCTCTTTGGATGTATCGGCCCATCCGTGAGTCCAGGCCGCCCCACGACTCCCCCGACAGCCATCACATGCGGAAGCCTGTCTTACGAACGTGGCCGAAACTCCCTTCCTCGTCTCGGCACCCAGCGGAGGATGGGAGGACTGTTCGTGAGCCGTGCTTGTTACCCAAAAGGTCCACAACGGTGGCACCGACGCCGGCGCTCACACCAGCGCCGACAGCACTGTCGCCAGCACCAACGCCAGCGCCTGCTCCGGCACCAACGCCAGCGCCTACCCCAGCACCGACACCAGCACCGACGCCAGCTCCAGCGCCGGCGCCTACGCAAGCGCCAGCGCCAGCACCGACACCAGCATCAACGCCTGCGCCTACTCTGGCACCAACGCCTGCGCCTACGCCAGCGCCAACGCCAGCACCGACTCCAGCACCAACGCATGCACCTACGCTGGCACCAACACCAGCCCTTACGCCAGCGCCGACGCCAGCTCGAGCTCTGGCGCCTAGGCCGGTGCCGACGCCAGCATTGACGCCAGCATCAACGCTTGCGCCAACGGTGGCACCAACGCCCCCGCCTACACCAGCGCTGATGCCAGCACCGACGCCAGCACGAAGGCTGGCGCCTCATTACGCGGGCTCCATCTCCAACGCCTACACCGACACAGAAGCCAACACCGACGCCAGCACCAACGCCAGCGCATACGACAACTCCGATACTAGCACCGACGCCAGCATCCGCGCCTGGGCCTGCGCCTTCACCCTCGCCGATGTCAGCACCGACTCCAGCACCAACGCCAGCGCCTACGTCGTCACCATCGCCAGCGCTTACGCCAACGCTAACCCCGCACCAGCGCTGTCTCCAACAGCGCCGACGTCAGCACCGACGCCAGCACCAACGCTGGCGCCTACGCTGGCACCAACGCCAACACTTACACCAGCATCAGATGCCCCGTGTTACCTACCAGCCTCGGTGTGCCCGCCCATCCG